GCAAAACCCGTCCCCGCCCTCCCCGCCGTGGGTCTCCTGGCGCAGGGGCACGGCCGATTGCGCCTGGTAGTCAGCGTGTGCTGGGGTGAAAGATAGCCCGAAATCAGTATAACCTTTAAAAAGCACTGATTTACCCATGTTGTTATGATTTCAGGGGGTTCTGCCCCAAAATCCACTCACCAAAATCCACGGCGGAGACATTTTCACGTTCACCTGCCACGATTTTATAGCCGGGGCCGTTGCCGTAGAGGATGGAGGTGAAGGGTTTGCGGTCCACATCGCTCTGCATCGGAGCCAGACCTGGTGGTGGCGGCACCGTCAGCACGACGGGGACAGCCCCACGGTGTCCCCATGGTGTTTCCTCACCCCGTGCCCATCACGGACTCACCGAAGATGGGGTTCCCACGTGGGGTGTAGCCGCCGAAGGTGAAGACGTGCGAGTGGTCGGCAGTGACCACGCTGAGCGTGTCCTGCACCGAGGTGAGGTGAGTGGCCAGCCCAATGGCCCGGTCCAGCTCCACCGCCTCGTGCAGCGCCTGCTTTGCCTTCCCCTCGTGGTGCCCGTGGTCGATGCGGCCTCCTGCAGTACCCAGCACTGCTCAGCATCACCCTCCATCCCCCCCGATATCCCCCACCGCCCACCTTATCCCCCCTCCGTATCCCCCTATCACCCCCTTATCCCTGCCTTGACATCCCCATTGTCCCCTTAACCATCTCCTTTGCATCCCATTTTGCATCCCCCATTCCCCCTTTTATCCCCTCCTTTTCATCCCCCACTGCCCCTTTATTCCAACCTTTCTTCCTCCATCACCCCTTTTATCCCCAGCTTGACATCCCCATGGTCCCCTTTGTCTCACTCTTTATGTTCCCCTTTATGGCCCACTTTGCTCCCCCTTTTGCATCTCCCATATCCCCTTTTATTCCTCCCTTTATATCCCCTTTATCCCCTCTTTGCATCCCCTTTAATTCCCCCTGTATATTACCCCCTTTCCATCTCCCTTTATCCGCTTTATTTCACCTTATCCCCCACTTTGCATCCCCCTTTATCCTCCTCTTTATCCCCCCATCACCCCATTATCCCCATCTTTTTGCATCCTCATCACCCTCCTTTTGACCCACACATCCCTCCCCACCACATCCACTCCCCTTTGCACCCCCATATTTCCCCCTGTCCCACCTTCAACCAGGAGGAAGAACCCCCGGGAGTTTTTCTGGAGCATCCTGATGGCTACAGCCACCATCTCAGTGAGAGATGGATCCGTCTCATTGTTCCTGTCCAGCTCGTACACCATGTCACCCGGCTCGAAGAGGCCTGGGGACAATGACACTGCTGGGGACATCCTTTCCCCACCAATAAACAGAAAAAGGCAGGGGACAGGACACACAGATCCAGCAGCACCGTCTGCTTCTGCTGGCTCAAGCCACCGGATCCCGGGTGCTTAGATAGGAGCTGGGGGATGATCCCAGCCCTTCCTTCCTCCAGCCCGGCTGAACCCTGCATCCTGGGCTGGAGAATTATGCCATGGGCTCCCAGAAGCAGCCTGCACCCCCAGGGAGGGGTATCAGCTTCCCTGGAGGCATAACAGCATCCCTTTGGGGTGCCAGCATCCCCAGGGGAAGGTACCCACGTCTTTGGGGTGTACCAGTACATCAGCATAAGTAACAGCGTCCCTCTGGGATACCAGCAAGCCTTTGAGGGGTACTGGCATCTCAGGGGGATATCATCATCCCTTTGGGGTACCAGCATCTCCAGGTACCAAAATCTTTGGGGGGTACCAGCATATCAGGTGGGTAACAGCATCGCTGGGGGAATACCAGCATCCCCAGGGTGAGGTACCAGCATCTTGGGGGCGGGTGCCAGCATCCCTTTGGGGTACCAGCATCTTGGGGGTACCAGCATCCCTTGAAGGCAGCAGCATCCTTGGCGGGTGCTACTGGCTAAACCACCTCCCCCCGGCCCCAAGGCCAGGCCAGGG